TCTGAATCCTATTCTATTCTGAATCCTATTCTGAATCCTATTCTATTTTATTCTATTCTGAATCCTATGCTGAATCCTAATGTAAATCCTATTGTATTCTATTCTCTATTCTAATTCTATTCTCAAGTCAACCAAATGGACTTCAACAAAGCCCAGTGACACGTTTTTTGCGTGAAAAGCCACCCTAATCTCAGGAGGAATGCTATTTCGGGTGACTGCCTTCATATTCCAAAGTCTTTTCTATTTCGTTTTATTTATTTATTTATTTTTGCCACTTTGCTTTTCTGCGCGTTTTTAAAACGCTCCCATGAAACGCCCGGGCAGCGCAAGTCCAAGTCCAGCCAGCCCCGCCTCCTTCCTCGCCTCCCATTCGCTTCCCCGGCCGGCGGGGCGTTCGACGCCGCGGCTCCGCCTTCCGCTCCGCTTGAGCCCCGCCGCTCACCGTCGCCCCGTTGCCATGGCTACGTAAGCGGCGCGGCCTACTCCGCCGCGAAGCCTGGGAGAAGTTTACCCGACCGACGGAGGCGGCCGACGGATTTGCAGCACGCCGTTATGTCTTTCCGCGATCTCCGGAGTGAGTCGAACGGGGCGAGGGGGTGGGACGGTCCGACGCAGTCTCCCAAGCGAGCCTCCTCTAATTTATCCCATTATCTAATCACCCGACCGGGGCGCCGTGATCCCCGCACCCCATTACCAAAGAGCTCAGGGCAGCGTATGTGACACCCCCATAGCCCGCTTTGATCCATACAACAACGCTGGCAGGTAGTAGGAGTCCCAGGAGAGCTAGCATTAGCTGGCCTGCAAGAATCATCCCGACCACAGATGGCAGCAAAGAGGCGCCAGGCAAATCCCGGCTCACTGCTGCCATCTAGAGGCACTCAGAAGAACAAAAGCTGTTTTTCCCAAGAAGCTTAAAGGTGATGTGGAGTCCCATGGTTCCCAGCCGGGGTGGGTGGTGCTGGGCCAGAGTTTTAACACACATGAAGTTTAGTTTAGTTTACTTTATGGTCATTGCACCTCGCACAACAAAATTAAATACCATCTTCAGTGTACGCGATGTGAAAATAAACACAAACGCACATCCTTCACATTCTATACATTGAATTAAAAAACCCCTGATATTGCATTAATATAGCACTATACTGCTTAATTCCTAAATTGAAATAATGCTAATACCAATATAACTGTGTTAAATTTGCATGCCACCCAACTCTCAACAATGAAGAAGATGAAAAGTGGGGCTCCTGATCTCTGCTTTCTATTGCTTTATTGCTTTCTCCTATGTTTAATTGTTCAGATGTCATTGGAAGCCTTTGAATTTAATAAAATGGTGATAAATGACGCGTAGGGCGCCTTTTGCTTTTGGTACACTTTTGGCCTCCCTCTAAGGACCAATGTGATGAAAAGCTTCTGAGTCAGAAAACTGACTCCCCTGGATTTTAGTTTATGTCTGAAATTGTATCTATTTGAAGAAGTGAGTCAATCTGTCTTCCTCTATTGGAGGCCAAAGGAGAAGAGACTTTCATTTGGGGGGGTGGGTAGGTGTGTGTTGGGATGTAATGATCAGATCAGTGCTGGTGCCACATGAAGCTAATATGTTGAAAGTTGGACGTATTTCACACAACATGTTTAACCAGGTCAGATGTAGAGTAGAACAGAGCAGAGTAGAATAGAGAATAAAGTAGAGCAGAGCAGAGCAGAATAGAGAATGGTTAGAGTAGAGTAGAGTAGAGTAGAGTAAAGTAGAGTAGAGTAGACTAGTTCCAGTGTTGGAGCATTCACAACTTCTGGAGGCAACTTATTCCACTGGTTAGTTGTTCTAACTGCCAGGAAATTTCTTCTTAGTTCTAGTTTCCATCCGTTGCTTCTTCTCCTGCCTTCAGGTGGTTTGGAAAATAGGTTGATCCCCTCTTCTTTGTGGCAACCTTTGTAATATAGGAACACTGCTATAATGTCACCCCGATCCTTCTTTTGTGTGTGCATATGTGTGTATGTTGAGTTGAAAAGGGGAAGAACCATAAGTTCTAGGAGGTTGTTATGCCATATTTTGACTAACATATATTTCAGTTCCAGCAACCGTTGTTTATATGTTTTAGCCTCCAGTCCCCTAATCATCTTTGTTGTTCTTCTCTGCACTCTTTCTAGAGTCTCAATATCTTTTTTACATCGTGGCAACCCCCAAAAAACACAGACACTATAAATTAATTAAATAAAAAATAAACTGCAGAAAAAGTAGCGGATTGAGGTAAAATGGGGTCTCAATAAAAGAAGGAAGTCGAATTCGTTTAGTTTTGTAGAGGTAGTCCTTGACCTACGACCACAATTGAGCCCAACATGTTGCTAAGTGAAATATTTTTTCAGTGAGTTTTGCCCCATTTTACGACTTTTCTTGCGGCAGTGGTTAAGTGAATCATTGCAATTGTTAAGTTAGTAATAGGGTTGTAAAATGAATCTGGATTCCCCATTGACTTTGCTTGTCAGAAGGGTGCAAACAATGGATCACATGACCCCAGGCTTAATGGCTGCATGATTCACTTAACAACTGTGGTGATTCGCTTAACAACCATGGCAAAAACAGGTGCAAATCACTTAACAATAGCCTTACTTAGCAATGGAAATTCTGATTACATTCAGCTGAGGATTACCTGTATATGGAAATAGATACCTGCAGGGTATGGTCTCTATAAGTACCCATAATAATTTATGACCCACATCTTAAGACAACGTAAAGAATGGCTGACATAATTCTGCTTTTCAAAAATGGGCAAATACCGACCACAGCCCATCGCAATGTCTTATTTTTCATACTCATGGTGCTAATGCTGAAGCTTATGACTAATTCTGAGTCACCTTTTCTGACAAGCACCAAACTCTGTTTTCATTATGGAATTCAGCTGCCAGCCTGCTGTTTTCTGCACTTCATTTTCATTTGTTGGCAGGCCTTGTTTCAAAGCGTAGCGTGCAAAATGATTTCTGCTGTGAAGCCTCTGCCCCTGCCCTCATCTAGGGAAAAAACTCCTTTACAAGTTCATTGCCTTCAGCTCGGTCTTCCCAGAGTTCACACGCTACGCTAATCCATAATGTGATTTGTTTCCTTTTTGCCTTTAACTGCGTTGCTTGTTTCCACCTTTGGTGATTGGTAAACCGCAGTTAGTGAATAGATATTCTGGTTTGTCATTTTATTCAAAACACCAAGATCTGACATGATGCGTTAAAACCCAGCCACCAAATCAGGGTTTTTTGGATGGACAGGCCCAATGGTGTCCTTCCGTTTCACAGAAGAAAATTATGTTGTTGTTGCAATGACCGGTATTAATCCTAGCACCACCCCATCAATTTCTCTGGGAAATACCTATTCGTCAGGTGCAAGCCACTATATAGCTTGCTTGAATAGACAATAACTTACTTGACTGTCTATCACCTATATCACAGAAGCATGGTGCTCATATGGTTAGGATACTGGTTTGGAAATTAGGAAGCCCCCGTTCAAGACCCAAGTGCTGCTGCGTGGTAGAATGACCTCCCGTCATTCGCTCCAGCTCCTTAATGGGGAGATGGAAGGTGCCACACACACACCCCCCCGGGGCAATGGTGATGTTACTGGCTAATCCTTTCAACCTAGAAATGCTTTAAACGGTGCCTCCGACATAAAAGGGACCTTTCCCAAGGTGCTTGTCTTCCCTTGGGAGATAAGGCTTCATGGATCTTGGGTGTGTGTGTGTGTGTCAAATTTATGTCGCTTGCAACTGTGCATTGATTCCAAGCTAGGCCCTCGCTTGATCCCTTCTTCCAGCCTAGCTGGCAGTTTCCCAGCATTTTTAGAGAATATGTGTTTATAGTTTGTAGTTCGTCTTTTGGCATACAGATAATCCTTGATTTACAACCATTCATCCAGTGACCATTCAAAGTTACGACACTGAAAAAAGTGACTTAGGGCCGTTTTACACAGTTGTGACTGTTGCAACATCCCCATTGTCACGTGATCAAATTTTGGACAATTGGTAACTGGCTCATATTTATGACAGTGATCACCATTTGCAACCTTCTGACAAGCAGAATCATGTGGAAGCCAGATTCGCTTAACAACCGGGTTAACTGCAGTGATTTGCTTAACTCTGGCAAGAAAGGACGTAAAATGGGGTAAAACTCACTTAACAACAGTCTTGCTTTGCAATGGAAATTTTGGGCTCAATCGTGATCCTAAGTCAAGGACTACCTGTACTATTCATGAATATCTCTTAGTAGCAGAATATCAAGTGCAATTTTCCCATTCCAGCATAGAAATGAGAGAAGAAAATTAAGATGTACCATACTTGAATTGATTAAAGGTTTCATATTTATTTTTTGCCAAAGATTTTACGGAGATGATGAGGGCTCTGGGCTATCCCCGGCTTATCTCAATGGAGAATTTTCGGACTCCAAATTTCATGCTGGTTTCAGAAATACTCCTTTGGCTGGTGAAAAGGTTGGTACTCAGCTTTAATTTGAAAACAAATATGAAATGCTTGGAGCTTTCTAAAAGAGCTTAAAATTGAAGTTGAAGTATTCTGGAAGATTTCCAGTTTGGAAAAAAAAAAAAAGGTTGCAACCAAAATACATTCAAAGCTTTTAAAAATATTGATGCTTGATCGTCAGTTTTAACCATCTGTTGTTGCTCTGTGGTAGTTCAAACATATTTTTGAGATTAAAACATCTTACCTTAGTTTGTTTTGCATTTGAAATTAAACATCAGAGGATTTTTCCTCTGATAGATTAAAAAAACTTTGATAAGATACATGGAGTTGGTAAAAAAAAGGTGGACTTGATTTGTTGTGTATTTTGTAAACAAGACATTTTGGTGATACACAACCTAAAATTCCTGGGTTATCTGCAGTTTCAACCTTCAAGGTTTTGGGACAGTGCAGAAGTCCTGCAAAAATTGCTACTTAAATTATAGTTTGCAACAGCACAGAAGAGGGAAACTATTAAATTCACATGGACAATCACATAAACTAAATTAAATTAAATTGAAATTCAGTTAAGTTTATTTTATAGACTGGCCCTGCCCAGTTCTCATCCCATGTTCTTTTTGTGTGTGACATCCATCACACCATGAACTCTGGTGGTGCAGTGGTTAGAATGCAGTATTGCAGGCTAACTCTGCCCACTGCCAGCAGTTCGATCCTGACCTGCTCAAGATTGACTCAGCCTTCCATCCTTCTGAGGTCGGTATAATGACCCAGATTGTTGGGGAGCAATAGGCTGACTGTAAACCGTTTAGAGAGAGCTGTAAAGTACTGTGAAACTGCATATGTCTAAGTACTATTGCTATCACACCACTCAAAATCCAGATGTGGTCCTTAGCCCATAAAAAGTTGTATACTTCTGCCTTGAAGATTAGGCAAAATATTCTGCTATGATTCAGCTTGGGAATTGTTCCAGTAAGAACTCAAAAATATGTCAAAAGAATTAGCTTTCTTTTAGAGAGACTGAGTTTAAAATAGTCTTCAGGTGAATGTTTCCTCCTGCTCTCTGCGGTGATATGGTATTAAAGATTAGTATGAAAGTCTGTAAAATTGTCCCAAGTACAATAGGGATTCTATTCTCCCTAATAGGGATTCATTCCCTATTTTACAAACTTTTTTGCCATGGTTTTTAAGTGAATCACATGGCCGTTAAGCAAATCCAGCTTCCTTCATTGACTTTGCTTGTTGGAAGCCAGCTGGGAAAGTCATGTGACACCCTCCCCCCCCCCCCCCAAGCTGCTGCCATCTTAGATCTCTAATGATCTAAGTGCTAGAGCCCACTGTGACTACATAGCCAAAAAGGCATTAAGAGTTGCAAACCTAATCCTACGTAGTTTTTTTCTCCGGTAATATTGCACTACTAACTAGAGCATACAAAACATTTGCTAGACCAATTCTCGAATACAGCTCATCTGTCTGGAACCCGCACTGCACATCGGACATTAATACAGTCGAGAGAGTCCAGAGATATTTCACGAGAAGAATCCTCCACTCCTCTACTCGCAACAGAACACCTTATGCCACCAGACTTGAAATTTTGGGCTTAGACAGCTTAGAACTATGCTGACTTCAGTCCGACCTAAGAGTAGTACATAAACTTATCTATTGCAATGTCCTACCCATCAATCACTACTTCCGCTTCAACCACAACAATACAAGAGCACACAATAGATACAAACTCAAGGTAAACTGCACCAAACTTGATTGCAGGAAATACGACTTCAGCAACAGAGTGGTCTGTTGTAATGACGAGGCAGTCGAGTTGTTTGATCATGAACAACTGAATCATGATGATCTTTATTGGAGTCTAGTCTTGCATTTATACACATTTTTAGTTATCCTCCATCACTGGTTAACTTGGGTTACTGCTTAACTTTCGTTACTGTTTAGCACAGTAATCCATACAATTAATTATCTCTAGTTAAAGTCTAACATATGTTTACTTCCTCTCTCTAATCCTCCTTTAGATTAGTGACTTTGTTTACCTGAGTTGTATTTGCTTGGAAACATTCTTTATCTGAGGTTTGCCATCCGAGATTGGAACATTCCTGCAATTACAACTCTATAGTGGTCAATGTCTGGAATACACTACCTGACTTTGCGGTTTCTTCCCCAAACCCCCAAAACTTTAACCTTAGACTGTCTACTGTTGACACTCAAGGATTACCTGAATTGTTTTCATTGTTTTATATTTTTAACTGTTGAGATGGGCAGCTACACAAATCAAATAAACAAAATATCACAATTTGTTCATAAAAAGAGAGCAATAGCAATAACACTTAGATCTATATACTGCTTCACATGCTTTACCCTCTAAGCGGTTTACAGAGTCAACTTCTTGCCCCCAACAATCTGGGGCCTCATTTTCCCTACCTTGGAAGGAGGGAAGGCTGAGTCAACCTTGAGCCTAGTGAGATTCGAACTCCTGGAGTGAGCAGTGAGTTAGTACTGCAGTACCGCACTACTGCATTCTAACTACTGCACCACCATGGCTCTTATATATAGCATACAAAGAAAATACAAAAGTAAATAGCAGGGAAGTTAGGGAAGGAAGAAGAGAAGAGAAAAGTGAGGGGAAGCAAGGGGAAAACAGGGGAAAAAAAGGCATTGACTTCCCTTTGGTGCAGTAGAACAAGGCATTAACATCAAACCTCAATTTTTTACTTTTACATAATAGTATAAACTAGCCATTTCTATAACAACAAATCTATCTAATCAGTAAAACCCCAAATACTTAATTCTGTGTCCATTTCCTTTTGCAGATACGAACCTCAGATTGATGTCCCTTCCGATGTTGAAACAGAGCAGGACCGGGTTTTTTTCATTAAGGCTGTTGCTCAGTTTATGGTGGGTTTAATTTATTTAATGTCCCTGAATCGCCCTGAAAGATCAAATGAAAAATATTAAATTCAGTACCAGAGCGTGCTCCAGTTAATTTTTGAATGAAAACACTTCCGATACAGAGAGAAAAGGGGAGGGAGGGAGAGGGAGAAAGAGAGAGGGGGGAGGAGGAGAGAGGGAGAGAAAGAGTTAGATCTGTGGTTTGAAAATTGGATCTAAAGAGTACTGGGGAGAAGGATGCACCTTCCTCATTTAATTTGGGAAAAAAGGAGGCCACATGGTAGGGGCAAAACTGATGTGCCAATTAACTGAAGATCTGATCAACTGTAAATTTTACCCTTGGTGAACTAAAGCAATAAAGTTCCTGTTGCAGAATTTCTCTTCTGGTTAATTAGGAACTGGCTGGCCCAGACGGTGTTCGCTACATTGGGATGAATCATTGCTCAAACATTCTTTTCCTTCCCTGTGTTAGAATTATAGGATCTTGCTTAAAAGTACTTCCGTTTTGGGATAAAACATATTTGGTATATTCTTAGGATATAGGACTGGAATCAGAGAAGCTGGATTCAGCCACAGAGATATTATCCACGTCTTTGGGTCAATTATGATTTCAATTCAAACAGGTTGGCTCATGCAGGAATTACATTGGAGAAAAGGTTACCGTGGATGCTACTTCAAATCGTCCGGAGAAAAGACAAATAAATGTAACACATGAATACATCGAATAAAAATTGGCTCTTGCAAAAAAAAAAAAAAATTGAAAGCAGGCTATAGATCCCAGCAATTGTAGCACCTAGTCAAAAAGCTCATAGGACATAATCGAATAATAGAGTTGGATGGGAGGTCTTCTTATCAGTGGTGGGATTCAATTTTTTTTTTACTTCTGGTTCTGTGGGCGTGGCTTGGTGGGCATGGCAGGGGAAGGATACTGCAAAATCTCCATTCCTTCCCCACCCCGCTAACCTGCTTTCCAGCTCTGTTCTCCTGTGCAGGGCAACCAAAGAAGACCCAGCCAATCAGCTGGGACTCAATGGGAGGCAGAGAAGAGATGGGGGCGGGGCTAGTCAGAGCTGGTATTTGCCGGCTCTCCGAACTACTCAAAATTTCCGCTACCGGTTCTCCAGAACTGGTCAGAACCTGCGGAATGTCACCTCTGCTTCTTGTCCAAACCCCCTGCCCAAGCAGGAGACCCTATACCATTCCAGACAAATGACCATCCAGTCTCTTCTTGATGGAGCCCCTGCAATGACATAATTTTAATTTCCCAAGTTGGAAATCATTTAGGAATTCTCTATAAATAGCTACGAACTACTTCATCCTGAGATATAAGCATATATGGAGAGAGAGAGAGATGAGCATTCATTTCTTCTTCCCACAGGCCACCAAAGCTCACATAAAACTCAACACCAAGAAGCTTTACCAAGCCGATGGCTACGCTGTGAAGGAGCTGCTGAAGATCACCACGGTCCTGTACAACGCCATGAAGAGCAAAGGGATGGAAAGCACGGCTATGGGTGAAGAAGAAGACGTCGGCAAATTCAAATTTGATCTGGGTTCCAGAGTGAGGAACTTTGAATTTCTTCTATTATGCGCTGAGTCTCGCCTTTCCTCTTGAGGCTTAAAGCATCATTGAAGTGATACCTAGAATCTTTTAAAAAATGGATTAGGTCTTGTCCTACATATAGTCATTGAAGTATGCATATCTTGCATCTCCACCCACCTATCCACACGTTCACACAACCTTTGTTTAAAGAAGACACTGTTTTTGTTTTAAAAGGCTGGTTTACCCCTCATGTGGAGTAAATCAACTGTGAGTGCAATTGTAGAACTGCAAGAACGGGAGAAGATACAGTATTCTGCTTCCAAAGCTACTGACAGAAAATCCAGTAAACATACTGACCTGGATTTATGCATTGCGCTAAACATAGATTATTGACTAAATCATGATTGCTTGGGTTTGGAATTGGGCTACATCATAAATAGTAGCATATACACCACAGTAGTGAGATTGACACACCATGATAAGCCAAATTTGAAAAAAAAAAAAAAAAGCATTCTATAATACCATGTTTCCCTTATTGAAAATAAGACAGGGTCTTCTGTTAATTTTTGCTCCAAAAGAGGCGTTAGGGCTTATTTTCCAGTTAGGTCTTACTTTCGGGGAAATACGGCACTAAATGTGTCTGGCTGACAATCTTAACGGGGGCTTATTTTGGAGGTAGGGCTTATATTACAAGCATCCTGAAAATTTTGCTAGAGTTTATTTTCCAGTTGGGTCTTATTTTCAGGGAAATACGGTAATGTGGTATGTTCAGCCTTCCTCCACCTGGTTGCCCTCTAGATGGGTGGACAACTCCTAGAATTAATCCAGCATGAGTATTATTGAGAATTCTGGGAGTTAGTTAGTTAGTTAATTAGTTAGCTTGGAAAGACAGTAGGCATATTCGAAGATGTGTGTATTAGGTAGATGTATGTTGACCTGTACAAGAAGAAAGTGATCTGGTAGATGGAAACATCTGGAAAAGTTGTGAGAATTGGCTTTAATGTATGCAAGCATTCTTTCCTCACTGAGGAAAGCCAATTGTGTTTTCTGTGAATGGTATTCTGTAGAGCAGGGGTGTCAAACTCACGTCATCACAGCACATCACATGACCTATTGGGACTTTTCCCCCCTTCGCTAAATTGGGCATTGGCCAGTGTGTGACGCATCCAGCCCACTGGCTGGAGTTTGACAGGCCTGATGTAGGGCAAATAGCATCTATGGTGAACTTGGTAAGAAGGGGATACAGTCCTCCTCCCATCCAGACCAGGAGCATCTTCCAGCTTGGAATTTTTCCCCTTCAAAATCGAATCTTTTCCCTTCAAAATCGAAAAGGTCAGCGAAAGCAACGTAACTGCACAGCTCACGGCTCGCCAACACACGAACAAATAAATTATTCAGATCCACTGAAGCTCGTGCACAAATTATTACGGTTATTAATCTGCTTGGAGATGGGCACTTCCAAAGAGTCTACCATCTCAATATATGGCTTTAGTCAGAAGAATTCCCTCTCCACTCCTCTCTAACTAACCCCTTAAACTCTGATTTCTCCAAATATCCGTTTAGATCAGTGATTTGAAGACAGCCAGGCAGCTCGCTTCAGATATCACTTCGAAAGGAGCGTCTCTGTATGACTTGTTGGGCAAAGAAGTGATGCTGAGGGTAAGTCTACAAAGAAACATTTCCACTGTCCCTTACTTGCACCCAAAACCAGGTTTTCTATTTTTAATATTTCCAGGCGCGCGATGCCCAAAACGCGGCTACTTTTTCAGTAGCAAATCTGTGAATATCAATTCTCCTGATTGTTGTCCCAAAGGTGCTTTTTTTCCCCAAAAGGCATTTTGGATTTTCTTGGTGTTTTCCTTTGAAAATGTTTCGCTTCTCATCCAAGAAGCTTCTTCAATTCTTCCGAAGGCCTAGGGGGTGACATGATAGCAGGGTTCCAATATTGGAGAGGCTGCCACATAGAACAGGGGCAGGACAGGGGGGAGGGTCAACCTATTTTCCAAAGTACCAGAAGGCAGAACAAGAAGCAACGGATGGAAACTAATCAAGGAGAGAAGCAACCTAGAACTAAGAAGGAATTTCCCGACAGTGGGAACAATTCTCCAGTGGAATGGCTTGCCTTCAGAAGTTGTGGGTGCTCCTGGAAATAGCAAAGGACCAGCCCGCAGTGCCTTTGCCAGCAAAAATGGAGCTTGGGAGGGCCACACACAGGTCCTCCCAACCTCCATTTTCTCTGGCAGAGGTTGAAGGATGCCGTCGTAGCCGAAAACGGAGGTCAGGAGCCCATTGTTGCTGGCAGAGCACTTGGGCCATCACAAGCGCATCCAACACAAGTGGCGTCGAGATGTCCACGCCCACCCGGGGCCCCCAAGGTCCAACACAACCCTGATACATCCCTCAATGAAATCGAGTTTGACACCCCTGGTACAGAGTTTCCTGATTAAGGTGTGGGTTGGACTAGAAGACCTCCAAGGTCCCTTCCAACTCTGTTATTCTGTTAAAGAAAAAGGACCAAGAAAATCCAGCTGCCTTTTGGGAAAAAGCACCTTTTTCAACCATGACTTGGATGATTGAGAATCAGACAACAGATCATCGGAGTTGGAAAGGGACCTTGTAGGTCATCTAGTCCAACCCATCGCCCAAGTGGATGACCCTACACCATTTCTAACAAATCACAGTCCAGTCTCTTCTTGAAAGTTTCCAGTGATGAAACTCCCACAACTTCTGAAGGCAACTCCTGTTCCCTTGGTTGATTGTTCTCAGTGTCAGAAAATTTATCCTTATTTCCAGGTTGAATCTCTCCTTGGTCAGTTTCCATCCATTGTTCCTTGTCTGGCCTTCAGGTGCTTTGGAAAATAGCTTGACCCCCCTCTCCTCTCTGGCAGCCCCTCAATTATTGGAAGACTGCTATCCTGTCTCCCCTGGTCTCCATAGCTTCTCCTTATTGTTCTGTTGCTGTCCACCTTTCTAAGTCTATCCATTTTCAAGCAACATGGGTTTCCTTCTGCCTCTCTTAAATTTCACCCTTCTAGATCCTGTGCTGAAGAGTAGAGATGTACAGGATGGGGGATTCTGGGGGTTGTAGTCCACACATCTAAAACTTTTCAAGGCTGAGGAAACTCTGCTCTGGTGGGAAAAGAAGATCCAGATGTTCCTTCTGCCTCATTAGGGTCAACAAGACATTTTTGAAGATAAAGCACACAGATCTGTTGTGTGAAAATAGCTGATTGAACAAGTTTTTTCTTTTTTAATGTTCTCTTCCTAATGATCAGTGCCTTTTTCCCCCCTCCTTCTGCATTCTGGGCAATTAATTAAAAAGAAGACGTGGAGCTCCTACCAAGGCAGGGATGTTCAAACAGAGCTATTATTGTTCTCTGTTGAACTTCTGTTACTGATTTCATCTTCGGCAGCCCCAGGCATGGTCCTATGAACAAAAATCCATGGAATGCATCTTGGGGATAATCTTGTAAATATTAAAGACTTCCATCTCATAATCTTTGTTGGGCAGGTCAGGAGGAGTTTTCCTACTCTTTGCATTTCCTTGAGAAATAAATAACTTTCTTTTTCTGCTGGGGGGAAAATAAATATATGTAGTTGGAGATATTTCTCATTTGTATATGCAGTCAACCTTGTCTTCCATCGATGTTCTAGATCATTGAAGTCTGGGGCTTTTATTTTTGTCTCCATCAAAGCCTTTGCATGTCAGTTGATTTCCCGCAACAAGAGACATCATGCCCATAATGGAATAATAATGTAATTGAATTGTCATTTTTCATCTGAGACAGCGCAAGGGTAGAATATTCGATGCCCAGGTTTCAGATGTTTTGAAATCCACGGAGGGCATCTGTGGCAGGTTTTACACCAAGGTTTGATTGATCCTCGGAAGACCTTAGAAGGGTGCAACATAGCTACAGGTTGTCCTCAGCTTACAACAGTGACCGTTCAAAGTTACAACAGCCTTAGTTTTACATTTTGATGGAGTTATGAAATATTGTAAAATACAAATACAAAAGCAAATAGAAAAGCAGTGGGGAAGAAAAGGGGGAAGAGAAGTGAGGAAGGATAAGAAGAAAAGAAAAGAAAAAGAAACATTCCGACTCTATAGTTTATATTTTATAACTCAATCAAAATGTTAAACTTGGAACATCCCTGAAAAAAGGGACTTCTGACCATTTTTCACATTTACGACCGCTGCAGCATCCCCACGGACATGTGATCAAAATTCAGACACCAGGCAACTGACTCATATTTATGACGGTTGCAGTGTCCCAGGGGGAGTCATTTACAACCTTCTGGCAAGCAAAATTAATGGGAAGCCAGATTCACTTAACGACTGTGTTGCCAGCTTAACAACTGCAGATATTTACTTAACAACTATGCAAAGAAAGGTGGAAAAACGGGGCAAAACTCACTTAACAACTGCCTCACTTAGCAAGGGAAATATAGAGCTCAATTGTGGTCGTAAGTCGAGGCCTACCTGCATTCTGTATGCAAGGACGTGTTCTGTCTCTATGTCAGTCTTTCTCAAATTGTGGTCTGCTAGAAGTACCCTGTTTCCCTGAAAATAAGACCCAACCGGAAAATAAGTCCCAAATGTGTCTTTTGGAGCAAAAATTAATAGAAGACCCTGTCTTATTTTTGAGGAAACACGGTATTGGGATGAATAGATTTTGTTTTTCACCTGCCAGTGTGATTTTAGCTTTTAAGGCTTTAACTTCCCAAGGGGTCTGTCTCTGAGATGTCTTCACACAGGGTTGCCTCCTCTTGTTTGCCTTGAAGGTTTGGCTTTGAGTAATATGAAGTCTTTGGATCTAGAAGTTCTGTTTGGTTCTCAGGCTAGTCATTCATTATGGACTTGCATCGTTTGGAACGGTGTTCTCCAGTATATTTGGAAGGTGACAACTTGTGACAGATTGAAATGTAATTCTTTAAAAGAGATAAAAGGCTAAAATTTTCATGAGCCCCAAGCAGTGAGATGTTGGCTGCTTCCCTTTGGACTTGCAGCGAAGAAAGTACATCTTTTCCCTCCTCCTTCTCTGCAGTCGATCAGTGAGAGAGAGAAAAACTTGTTAGAAACATGAAAAATCGCCTCCATTAAAAGAGCACATCTGGCTGGTTGGCTTCCGTGGCGTCGGCCTGGCATGACCTTGCGAGACTCTTCCCTGTAACATCTCCAGATATCTTAACTGAGCTTGCCAGATTTCAGGCAAAGGACTTTCTTTATGGAATTATTACTCGAATTTATATGCCATTTGTTTCTAGAGATTCTGAATGATTACTTGTGGCTACTCTGTTCATAGCCTTCTCCTTGCTAGCCCTTTGCAACTCAAGGCTTTCTATTAATGCTGTAGAAGTTCTCCGTCATGGTTGTCCCCAAGGTGCATTTTCTGGAGGCAGCTAGACCATGCAAACAAGGGAAGCAGCCAACATCTCACTGTGGGATGCAGGCAGCATGCAAAAACACTCCCCCCTCCGGTCCACAGAGAAACCTCTCTCTTTGGAACCGGTCCCTAGTGCCCAAAAGGTCGGAGGCTGCTGCTTTACAGGCCTCCCTAAGCTGTTTACAGAGTCAGCATACCGCCCCCAACAATCTGCGTCCTTGTTTTACTGACCTCGGAAGGAGGGAAGGCTGAGTCAACCTTGAGCCGGTCAGGATTGAACTCCCGGCAGTGAGCTGAATTAGACTGCAATTGTCAGGGTTCCGATGGACGCCCTAATTCATTCATGATCCTTACAAGTTGACAGCAATGCTGCATTCTAACCACTGCACACTATGGAAGGAAGGGTGGGGGAGGGCAACAGCAATAGCACTTAGACTTATACACCACTTTACAGTGCTTCCCAGCCCTCTCTAAGCGGTTTACAGTGTCAGCCTGTCGACCCCAACAGTCTGGGTCCTCATTTTACCCACCTCAGAAGGACAGAGGGCTGAGTCAACCTTGAGTCAGTCAGGATCGAACTCCTGGCAGTGAGCTGGATTAGGCTGCAATACTGCATTCTAATCACTGCACACCATGGAAGGAAAGGAAAGGAAAGGAAAGGAAAGGAAAGGAAAGGAAAGGAAGGAAGGAAGGAAGGAAGGAAGGAAGGAAGGAAGGAAGGAAGGAAGGAAGGAAGGAAGGAAGGACAATAACAATAGCACTTAGACTTATACACCGCTTTACAGTGCTGTATAGCCCTCTCTAAGTCGTTTACAGTGTCAGCCTGTCGACCCCAACAGTCTGGGTCCTCATTTTACCAACCTTGGAAGGATGGAAGTCTGAATTGAGCCCCATCAGAATCAAACTCCAGAGTGTGGGCAGAGTTTGCCTGCAGTATTAATGCCTTCCAACCACTGCACCACCAGGGCTCAGGTTTACGGAATACAGTTATCGTGTGCTAGTGGTTTTGTTGGCAACCTGCCATCGAAGAAACAAACATAGAGATGTGTTCAGATGTTTTCCTTTTTCTCTGCCACCTTGGAATGCCTTATGATGGAACTTTGCTCCTTTTGAAAGTTAAGCAGGTCGCCCAACTCAAAAAAGTTTCATCGGGCTTAAAACTGAATGTAGTACAGGATAAGCATTACATTCCTAGGTTACAAGGAGAAAAATTAGTGTCAATTTGGTACGGATCTTACACTTCACTGGAAAGAAATTGAGATGTTTACAGTTTCC